TTTTTTTTTTTTTGTTTTCTTATGCCTTTTGTCATTGCTGCTGGTGTCACCAGTCTTGTTAGCCCTAACGCTTTTTTTAACGCAGTGCTGCTGAGGGACGACGACGCGTTCTGAGCCGTCAACTTACTTGCGCGCACTGTCTCTTATTGGAATTGGCGAGTAAGACCAATACACATACACATGCGACGCGCACACATGTTTAACCACAGCCGCCGCAGCCACAGCCATACCGGTTTCTGATTACGATTTCAAACCCAGCGCTTGCTCTTTAACAACGTCTCTTTCTGATTGTAGCTACCTTCTCGCAGCGCACTGCTTCATCGGTGTGTGCCCGTGCTTAACAGTCGGCGCTGTTGTATATGTATTGCACCTACTCGCTGTTAGCTCAGCTTTTTGCAGCGCTAACCATCATCCGCTGTTTGTTTATTTTGCTCGTTACTCGCTACTAGTCTGCGCTCAGCTGCGTGCTCGCTTGTGTGTGTGTGTCCCCGGGTTGCATTTGTGTGCAGCGCTGCCAATTCGTTTGCACGCCTGCCAAGCGCTCTAGCGCTCTACACTCTCCTGCCGCGGCGGCTTCGCTAGCAGCCATTCGAGACTGGTTTTTGGGGGGTTGCGCCGCTTCGGCGAGTATGTGTATTTTCCAGTTTGCAAGCGACCGGCGTGTAGTGCGTATCTCGGCTGCTAGTGTGTATATTGAACGTTTGCGTAGCGTTTTTTTTTTCGCTGTGCGACCAATTCGCCTTCAAAATTCTTACTCGATTTAACGTGTGTGCAGCATAGGTAGCTCGCTTTGGTCGTCGTCGTTGTGGTCGTTTTCATAGAAAATATATTTTGTTTAGCCGGCGATAAAACTCTTTTGAGAAATAGCTTTCTCGACGAATTTTTCGTGTGCTGTGTTGTTAAAGATTGTGTAAAACATAGGTGAGGGAGTTTTGTAAAAGTTTAAGGTGAAAAAGTTGAAGGAATTTTGTGTTTAGCAGCATTGGGACGGCTGTGCCACAGCTAAGGCGCAAAGCCGCCGGTGTTGCGATGAAACATCGATTCGCTCGCTGCGCGAAAACNATTGTGTAAAACATAGGTGAGGGAGTTTTGTAAAAGTTTAAGGTGAAAAAGTTGAAGGAATTTTGTGTTTAGCAGCATTGGGACGGCTGTGCCACAGTTAAGGCGCAAAGCCGCCGGTGCTGCGATGAAACATCAATTCGCTCGCTGCGTGGAAATAAAACGTGTGAAGAGTACAAAATCGAAGCGCAGATAATTTCAATGAGAATTTGACTAATTTTTAACTTTTAATTTGCAGCAAAATTATTGGAGCTGCAAGGGGAACGGACTGAAAGTTCACGGCGTGACAGAAAAATGAGCGGCGCTTAACAAAAAGTGAATTATGCGCCGCAAGTGATTAGCAAATGCCTAAACTAACTGAAAACTGTCAAATAGCGAAGAAATTAAAAAAAAAATATATATATGTATATATTTTTGTGTTAGCTAATATTAAAAAATTTCTAGTGGAAAAGTGCAATTTGCAAACTAACGCGCAAAGTAATGAAAAGTGCGAGTAAGGCAAACAAATTTGGATAAAAACAAAAAAATTAAATTTTACAAATACGAAAAATGGCGTACCAGCTTAGTAAAAAAGCATACCTGCAGCAAAAGGAAATTGAAGAAATGGAAAAATCTAATTTTTACATTTACAAAACGGCATAACTGTGCAAAAATATTTTGCTCTAAACAAAAAACTAGGTTTGGTTAAGGTAAAAAACATAACAGAGCCAAAAAAGTGTTTGTGCAAAACATAAAATTGAATCTGAGTGCAGCAAAAAGCAATAAAATGCTGAACTTTTTTTTTAAAAACAAAAGCAAATTTTAGTAGAGTAAACNAGCAAAATTATTGGAGCTGCAAGGGGAACGGACTGAAAGTTCACGGCGTGGCAGAAAAATTAGCAACGCTTAAAAAAAAGTGAATTATGCACCGCAAGTGAATAGCAAATGCCTAAACTAACTGAAAACTTTCAAATAGCGAAGAAATTGAAAAAAATATATATATATGTACATATTTTTGTGTTATCTAATATTAAAAAATTTTAGTGGAAAAGTGCAATTTGTATATGCAAACTAACGCGCAAAGTAATGAAAAGTGCAAGTAAGGCAAACAAATTTAAATAAAAACAAAAAAATTAAATTTTACTGGGTAAAAAAATTTCCAAATACGAAAAATGGCGTACTAGCGAGCAAAAAAGTATACCAGCAGCAAAAGGAAATCGAAGAAATGGAAAAAACTAATTTCTGCGTTTACAAAACGGCATAACTGTGCAAAAATATTTTGCTTTAAACAAAAAACTTAGGTTAATTAAGGTAAACAACATAACGGAGCCAAAAAAGTGTTTGTGAAAAAACATAAAATTAAATCTGAGTGCAGCAAAAAGCAATAAAATGCTGAACCTATTTTTTAAAACAAAGAAACCTAATTTTAGTAGAGTAAAAGTGCGGCAAAGTGAGCGTAAAGAGCATTAGAACAACAATAACAATTCAAAACAGCTGTTACAACAACAAAATTGTGTAAAAAATCAAAAGCAAGTATGTAAATAAACGAAAGTATGTAAATAAAATTAATAAGAATTTGGAAAAATTTATAAAAATTGTAATTCAACCACAAACAGCTGCAAAAACTCACTTTAGTTGCCGCAGAATTGCCGTTTACATTTGTGCAACAAAGATTTTCCAAAAGAAGTGTAAAATTTAAAAAGAAATATTTTTTTTTAAGCAGCAGCAGGCAGCACGCGTCAGGCTAGCGCAAAAAAGAAGTGAAGCAAACAAGCGGAAGCAGGCGCTGAAAGTAAAAATATAGAAATTCTAAAAGCTAAGTAAATTTTTTGAAAAGCGCTTGAGCGGCTTTTTAGTCGAGCAGTAGAAACGCGCGGCCTAGAGCAACATTCCGAGGGCTGTGATTTTGATTTAAGAAGGAGAACACNTTGCCGCAGAATTGCCGTTTACATTTGTGCAACAAAGATTTTCCAAAAGATGTGTAAAATTTAAAAAGAAGTATTTTTTTTTTAAGCAGCAGCAGGCAGCACGCGTCAGGCTAGCGCTAAAAAGAAGTGAAGCAAACAAGCGGAAGCAGGCGCTGAAAGTAAAAATATAGAAATTCTTAAAGCTAAGTAAATTTTTTGAAAAGCGCTTGAGCGGCTTTGCAGTCGAGCAGTAGAAACGCGCGGCCTAGAGCAACATTCCGAGGGCTCTGATTTTGATTTAAGAAGGAGAACAAATTTTTGTGGTCTAAGGTGGCACTGAAAGTTTGCGCCCTCCTGCTCCAAGCTGCTCCGTGAATTTGCTAGTGCGGCGCGCCTAATTTTGTTTTAGCGCTTTTTGCCTACGCTGTTGCTAGAAACGTGTAATGTAATGAGATACGACGTTCAAGAGTTGCTTCATCAGTCTGCTGAGGATCCATTCGCTCGATTCGCAAATGGGATGGCATATCATCCATTTCTGCAGCTCTCCCGACCCACTGACTTCAGCGTGTCGTCGCTGTTGACGGCCGGCACGCAACAAGCACAACAGGCTAGCACCGCTACCGCTACCGCCGCCGCTGCAGCAGCCGCAGCCGCAGCAGCCGCCGCGGCAGCTGGTGATTTGAGCACTGGTGGCGGAGGTGGTAACGCGAATACCGTATTGAGTGCGGCTACCTCACCCGCACAGCCACATCAAGCGCATCAGCAACAGCAATCGCCAAATACACCCACAAGCGCTGCGGCATTATTGCAACAACAGCAATTGCAATTGCAACAGCAGCAGCATCATCAGCAACAACAGTTACTTTGCGGTGTTGGTCAAGCCTCACCGGTTGGTGGTCAACAGCCGCCACTGTTATCGCCTGGCAGCAATAATAATAACAACAATAGTAGTAGCAATAGTATCGGCAGCAAGTCGAGTAGCAATAGTAACAACAATAACCGCCACACGCCCACCAACACCTCCAACACAAATAACAACAACAACGATCCTCAGAGCAGCAACAATAATTTGTCGTCGCACGCGCACGCGCACGCGCATCCACAGCCACAGCAACAGCAACAACAACAGTCACTAGCTCATCCAGCGTCACATTTAACCTCGCCACATTTGTCGCCGCATCAGCAGGCGCCACCACCGCCACTGCCGCACGCGACGCATCCGCACGCCCATCCCGCACAACCGCCAGCGCCGCACCAGCATCCGCATCACTCGCCGGTGCCGGGCCATCACGCTTTGGGACCACACCTGCCGCAACAGCCGTACTTTCCAGCGGCCGCGTTAGCAGCGCTCGCCGGCAGTCCAGCGGGTCCACATCACGGTCTCTATCCCGCCGGTCTGCGTTTCCCGCCACATCATCCGCACGCCCATCATCCGTTGGGCACACCCTACACCACCGCCGAGGACGTGGTGCTCGCATCGGCTGTGGCGCATCAATTGCATCCGGCGATGAGACCGTTGCGTGCGCTACAACCGGAGGACGATGGCGTCGTCGACGATCCGAAAGTGACGCTGGAGGGCAAGGATCTGTGGGAAAAGTTTCACAAGCTGGGCACGGAAATGGTGATCACCAAGAGTGGACGGTAAGTGGCAGATTTTTCAATTTTTATACAAATTAAGTGAGGTCCACTGTGAGAGTGAAATTTGAGAAGCGATGAGTTAGTGAAAAAGTAATTTACTGCCCTAAGGCTGTGAAAGTGCCAAAAGTATTGCTTTGTGATCTTCAAACCCCTGATAGATGGTGCATAGAAATTGTGCTTACCAACTTTGAAATAACCCTTTAACGCCAGTCCTCTGCGCACATTTTTTTTTTGTCACCGCTTCGCACACTTAACGTCCTTCAACAACACACTTCATTGTGCCGTCGGTAAATGGCGTTCTTCGAAAAAGTTGATCGGGTTTCAGAGGCTCGCTTTGAGATGGCGTGAATTATGCTCACTGCTCACAAACATATGTGTGTACATATTTGTGTGTTCATTCACCTTCCTCCTTCCCCCTGCTGCTGCCTACTGCCATCAGCATCAACAACAACCCCGCCGTGTGTTCGTCAATGCAAATGACAGCCGGTATGCACAGCGGCAATATGGTGGTGAAGGGATGATGATGTTGATGTTTGATGAATAATGCATTTTATATAAGAGGTGATTTGTACACACAAGAAAAATGATTAATCAGAGGGTAGTTGATTGTGAGGATACATATTTACAAATGTGTGTGTCTGTGAATTTCTATGCGAATAAGTGCAGCAATTGTCTCGAAGTGTGTGGCGAAGAATGCCGAGATACTGTCTAAAAATTCCGTGTACAAGCTCAATGAGTCAAACGATGGGGCTTTGTTCGAAAATGCAGTCCAACAGCTGGCTCTTTTTGAGAAAAAAAAAGTTCTGAAATCAAGTAAAATGCCGTCTATTTCTGTAGGAGTGCTTCAGAGGCTTTCGGCTTAGCAACTTCAAAGTGTTGGTAGTAGGGATCTTAGTTTTTTTCTTGATTTGTACGAACACGGAATTTTCGGGATCGCGTTTATACAATCCCGCAATTCCGGGATTAGTCTCGGGTTTAGATATTCATTATTTTTCAATAGTTTAAAACGAAAAAATTGCATCAATATTGTTTGAGAAGCTCTCCTCCCATATAATAAGTAATATATAGTTTGAAACCTAATTTTTTATTTAAAGCAAAAAATATTTCATTAGTAACAAAACAAGAGACAGAAATTAAATGTATACGAGTTTAATGATTCTTAAGCGTGTACCAGCTCGATGCAAAAAAAAATTTAAGTCAACAGATGTAATGGCAGATATAAAAGAAATGATTTATTGCAACCAGTTTTGTCTATATTTCTTAATGTTTAATTTTTTTTAATAAAAGTTTACCTCATTTTATATATAATTAACTGCACATAAATGTGCATTTCAAAATTTGTACAAAAATTATAAAAACGCAAAAATTTTTAACCAAGATTTCAAACCTTCACACAGAATTTTAAAAAAAATAGGTACGCAGTTTTATAGCGCATTAAATAATAGTAAGATAAAGTGCAAGTTTTAAGCAGCTGCAAAATACTGTTGATTTTTGGAAATTTGTTTTTATGATGCTGGGCATTTTCTTCCATATAAACAAATTGTCGAACATATTTTGTTGGCAGAAAATGTGTGATACCGCCAGCAAAAAAAAAATTTAATTAAAATTATAAAAAATCAAGTGTATTTTTAGCCACTCGAAATTTCTACTTTATCCTTCTGTAATTTAATGGGCTATAAAATTGCGTACCTAAAATTTTTCTAAAAATTCTGAAATATTGGTTAATATTTTTGCATTGTTATAATTTTTGTACAAATTTTGAAATGCACATTTATACACAGTTAATTGCATATAAAATGCGGTAGACTTTTATAAAAAATTAATAAATATTAAGTAAACAAAAGAAATATAGACAAAACTGGTTGAAATAAATCGTGTCTTTTATTTCTGTTACTACAAACTTAAGTTTTTTTTTTGCATCGAGCTTTTTCCCACAAAATATTTAGGCGGCCGGTTCATCGATCCGAGGAGTCACTGTCACTATTCACGGACTTGTTCTCCTTATAACCCCATTCATTCACATGTTGTAACTCCTTTTCACGGGCCGTGGTACCTATTTTCATAGAAAAGTATTCGAAAAAGCAGGCACCCGCATAGTCTATCCAGTGTTGCCATTTTGGTGCTTTTGGAGCTAGATTTAGCTCTTTATTTTTCTGTTTAGCTCCGAAAATTGGGTTTTAGATCTTTTCAAATTTATCTAGCACTTTTTAGCTCCAAAAAGTTTTAGTTGTATTTGGTATATATAAGCCAAAATTTAAGCGTTGATAAAATGTAAAATTTCGAGGTGCAGTGTATCCACCATAAATCTTGGATCTAGGTTAAAGTATTCAAAAATTAATTAGAAGAAGATCATTTTGTGGTAGCGGATTTTGTTTTACCTTACTAATTTTACCTTTAAGGAGAGCTGGAAGTAAAACTTTCCAGAAAAATGTTGCGAAAAAATTATTCAATTTAAATATCTGAAATTACAGACTTTAACAGTTTGTAAAGAATTTTTATTTCACTGTTATAAGTGCCATCATAGCAACGAATTCGTAATATATGCACCTTATTTTGATTTTAAACGATTTTTTCAGCACTTAAACTTATAAAATTCGTTGTTTTTATTAAAATTGCCGAAAATGTTAAAACAACATCACGTCAATAAATGGTCAACCATAACAAAAATATGTAGCAATTCATTTTAGCTACTATTAGTATTATTTAGCTCTTTTTAGCTCTTTTTTTCGACCGTTTTAGATCCAAACGAAATTTTTCTCTGGCAACACTGAGTTTATCTCAGTTAATAAACCTTTTTTAGGTTACCTCTCAGCCCAATGACGAAACTTTTGCCTTTGGTGTATACATATGTATTGTTCCAGAAGCCTAAAGCACTCTTTTCGTTGAATGCTTCAGTAGAAATCGTCCGTAAAAGGATTAAATGAAAGGACATTTGTTATTTCATATTTCATATTTCATATTTCGTCAGGAGGCGGTTTGAGCAAAAAGTTCACATGAATTCACTCACGGTTTGTCTTGGTTTGGTATTAAACCTACCCCCAATTGGTATTTTACATCTAAGAAGTTCGTTTCTAAGTCTAGTAATGTCCGGGTGTTTTGAGAGGTACGCCCTCTTCATGCTGTTACTTTTCAAGTAAAACGGGCTTTTTATCTGGCCTGACCCAGATAATATAATGTGGCTGCTTCTTATTCATCGCCTGCCGTTCTACTAGGGTAGAAGTGGCTTTAGATTCTTTACGAGCGTATTGGCCCTGCAATGCTAGTGGGACTAGTGTTTCGGGTGTAACTACGCTGCCGAAACGTTCATTGAGTATTCCTCTCTGAGTGCTGAATCGGTGATATGAAAAGAGAAGGTGTTCCGCATCTTCTATTTCCTCAGGGCCACAGTAGTCGCAGTATGTATAGCTTTCATGTCCAAAGCGATGGAGGCAGGCCTTAAAGCATTCATGCCCGCTAAGGACTTGTGTTAGGTAGAAATCTACCTCGCCGTACGATAATGTCATGTGTCCACATTTTCATTGTGATCCGTCTCTAAACTTACTTAAACGCCTTCGGAAATTTTTTCTTTGAAAGATGGTTTGACTTAATAGTTATCTATGTAGTTGGCTATAGACTATCTTTTTTATAATTGTACAAAGCAAGCGTATTCTTGAAGTAAAATTCTTCGAGTGAAATTCTTCACCTGTCATGGTTTTTGATTTTGTTATTACATTTAACATCACCTGATCCCAAGCCTGATTAATTTGTATCTTTTGTTTCTCCTTCGGTGTAGTGATTATTAGACTTAGCTAGTATGGGTATAGGTTCCTCATTTCTTTGTTACTATTGTTTTTCGATAATTTCCTTGCTTGGTTGCTGGTTAGAATGGTATTTCTCGATAACTTTCCTATTTCCTGGTTAAAATATGTTGGTATTTCTCCATAGTTTCGTGGTCAGATTAGCATTTCGTGATAAATGCATCGTTTTCTGGTTAGAATAGATTGATATTCCTCGTCTTCTTGTTACCAATAGTTATTGGTTTTCCTCGATAGTATAGTGGTTATTGTACTCGCCTGACAAGCGACAGCTCGTGCCGCACATTCGCCGCAGTTGTACCACAAATTATCTGATGTTTAAAGATGCGCTGTAGTTCTGTTTCTTCGCCGAATTTATACGGGTAAATTTGGTTGCACAAACCCGACCCACGTGAGATAGCGTACTCTTCGATCCCTTGGTTGCATTCAAGCTAAAGTGAGAATTTAATCGATTCTTAAAGATGCTTTTATAAGGTCTTTCAAGTTATCCACTTATCTAGAACTTATTTAAAGCTTTCGATATCAACACCAACGCGTTTAAAATGGGTACCTAGGGCTAGTGTCTTGTTTCCTTGGAGATCTAAAAATAGGGAGAGCATATGCAAATATTTAGTTTATTTTCCGACCTCTGAGTTCTTGTATGAAATGGTCGCAGTAAGACCACTTTATTTTGGATCTCGTATTTAATAAGTTTCTTTATTATTATTTGAGGATCTTTGATATAAGTACTTAACAAAGCGAATATTTTTTATTAACGTAACGTAATTCCATTCTAGAGCTTGCGTCGCCTATCATACGAATGCACCATACTGTGTAGAAGAAGACGAAAGCTCATGGGTTTAGGATTTATCGAAGACCTAACCGACATAGCTGAGTTAGGCATACGGAAATTTCTGGGTTTCGCGAAATCCACACGATGGTTTGAGTGGAGGGGTTCGCGTGGTATCACAACGGGTTCAAAATCTAAGGGCCTGGGTGTGCTAGTGTTGTCACTCGCAGTCAATTAAACCTAACATAACCTAATCTTACCTAGAGCTTTTAGATCAGGTCTAGGCTTTAACTCTATAACAGTATTTCAGTCTGTGCTTCTCCATATCAATTGTACAAAAAAAAGCTTAAAAAAGTTCTGCAAGCGTACATGGTAATGCTCACCGCTGATTTCTTGTCTATTCTACCGAGCTTTTGCCTTTTTTACCAAAGAAAGTCTCT